CTGGCCAATCATAGATGTGTATGGTTCTTGGTTTCCTGTGTGGGGAGCTCTTTGGGGTTCCCTGAGGTCTGGGCACTGGTCCCTGCCCAGCCTTGCTCTGGGCAGAAGGGGCTTAGAGAATATCATCCAGTGAAGGGTCCAGCGGAGGGGTCTCCAGAGCTGAGTGTGGGAGAAGTTAGGATCTTCACAGCGGGCCTTACCCAGGCCTGACTCATTCATGCAAATCAGAATGCAAAAAGAGGTGTATCCACATCGGCCAGCAGACTGTGGGGCAACAGAGGGCTGGTCCCCAAACCTCTGTGGGTGTCACTTATTTTCTTTCACATTCCCTGTTCCTGCCCCACTTAACTCTCTCATCTCTGGCTTTGCCAGGTCCTTCCATCCCTGAGGCTGTGTACGTGGTTCTCTGCCTGGAAGGGCAACTCCCACTTACCCTTCAAGGCCCAGTTCACAGTCCCTGTGGTAACCTCCCTGACCACCAGACAGAGGCAGTCACATCCTCTGCAGCCCCAGAGACTCCCACCAGTGACTTGGGCAAGTTTCTACTTCATACAGCTTCCAGGAAGCGGGGTAAAAATCTTAGACTTGGGGATTGTTAGGAAGATGAACAAGATAAAGGTGGACACCTGGCAGGAGCTGGCACATGGTGGGCACATAAGCAATGAAGTGAAGTGAGCCTGTTTGGGGCAAAGTAGACAGTAGTGGGCAGGGATGGCATAAGGGAGCTGCTGGACTGGGCCAGAGAAGGGACCATGAGGTTTAAACTCTGCCCTTGTGTGTTGAAATGATAGATAGAGGCCAGAAGGATCAAAGTTTTGGCTCTAGCAAGAGGACTTAGGCCAGAGCTGAATTAGGATTAGCTGGCAAAGATTGGAGATTTCAGATGACCTTTACTTAACCCCTGGATCAGCCAAGTCCTAGAGAGCAGGTCGGACAAGAAGAGGTGCAGACTCTTCAGATACCCAGGGCCAGATTGGGGGTTGGGTAGAAATGGACCCCCACATGGGAACAACTAAAGATAGAGCAGGAGCAGAACTGAGCTCCATGGCTCAGTTTCTGAGGCCTAGGAGCCTGAAGGGAAGGTCCTGGAGGACTTTCTCAGAAGGTGGGAGGGTGTGGCTCATTTACTCATTGTTAGTCAATTTGGTGACAATTTGGTGGGCTCCCAGGTGTCCACCTGGTGCCTGATGCAAACAGAGAAAGGGTGGGAGTTATGGACAGGGCCACGCCAGCTTGGCTGGGTCTTGGGGTATGGCATGGGCACTTGGGCAAGACACTTCCTCTGTTTCTTCATCTGTAAATGTTAGGGCTGGATAAGGTAGAATGATGGCCAGGGAGGTGGCATCCATGGAAGGAAGGACTGAGCCGGGGTGTGACAGCAGAGAGGTGCTGGAGGGAGATAGGGGAGAAGCAGGGCCAAGCTGGAGTGTTGGGATGTTAAAGGTTTAGCTGGGCCCTTGGGGTGGGGGAAGAGGGCAACCCCACAACTTGTGGCCTAGCTGTTGCAACAGGATGACATTCCTCTTCGAGTCAGCTAAAGGGTTTAACCAGGGCCAGCATTAGAGTGGAGCAAGCAAGGCACTAGCCTCTGGCATGTATGTAAACAGGGAGGGGGTCTTGACAAAATTTGTATAAAATAATTACATGATAAACAGAAAATCCAGCATTTTAAATGAAGAGGTTCAGTGATGTTGATTTTCTCTTTACTTCAAGCTCTAGTGTGGCTTAGCAGGTACTGCTTCAAATGTTTTTTAAAGAGCTGCCTCCTTCCAGAGACCTTCCCTGCCCCCCAGCCGGGTGAAGGTCCTATAGACTGTTTTTGAGGCCCAGCCATATCTCTACTTCCAGACCGAGATCCTGGTCACGTCTGTGACCTGGCTCTCACTTCCAGTGCCTTGAGGGCAGCTTAGAGGGGTGTCACTGGGAGTCCTGACCTTAACCTGAAGCCTTCAATGCAGGAATAGGAACTTGAAAGAGGCCCATTGGGGACTGGGCCCTCCTCACAGACGTGGCTTCCTGTTTCCCAGACCTAGTCTCTCCAGTACGGTGTTGGGGTTTCCTTAATCGCGTTAAATCCTTTGAAGAGTGTGGCCTGTAGTAACTGCTCAGTCGTGTTCACCATAACTTTTCGGAGGCAGTGAGCAGGTGATTTAGAGTCTGGGGCTGCCCTGCCCAATGGAAATATGAGAGCCACGATTGCAGTTTAAAATTTTCTAGACTCACACTAAAAACAAACCAGATAAAATTAATTTTAATAATATATTTTCTCCAAATACCCCAAATACTTCATTATGTAATAAATAAAACAAGTTGGGGTATTTTGCGTATGTATTTTTTGTCTCCAAAATCTAGTGTGTATTTATTTATTTATTTATTTATTTATTTATTTTTAAAGATTTATTTCTTTATTTATACAAGCACTGGGTACAGTCAGAAGCGCGGGAGGGTGAGAGAATTCACCAGAGCCAGAGCGGGGAGCAGAGCAGGCAGAAGGACCGAAGTACACTGCTGAGGGAAGCGGCGGGCGGCAGGAGAGGTCTGCGCTCCATGTGGGACCCTCCTCCGGTGGCCGGGGAGCAGCTGGGGATGGAACCGGCGCTGCAGAGGCTGCGGGCAGCTTTCGCAACCCAGTGCTCAACCACTGCGCCACCGGGGAGGCCCTAGTGTGTATTTATACAGCACACTTCATTACGTGGCACATTTTGAGATCCAGCAGATCTATGTGGCTACTATTGTTTATGATTTTGGACCAGGCAGGTCTAGATGATATTCAGCTGCCCCTCCTAGCTGTGAGCCTCAGGTTCTTCATCTAAAAGTACCTCACAGGGCTGCTGTGAAGAGGAAATGAGTTAATATCAAGGGCTGAGGACATACTCCATGGTTTCTTTATGCATCCTTCTACCTATGGGCATTTAGGCTGGTTCTATGATTTGGCGATTGTGAACAGTGCTGCTGTGAACAAAGGGGTGCATTGATCTTTTTGTATTATTCTTTTTAAAAAAGATTTATTTATTTATGCATACAAGAACTGGGGTGTAAGCCAGACGTGTGGCCGGCAGGGTGGGGTGGGGAGGGTGGTGAGAGGATTCACCAGAGACAGAGTAGAGAGAACAGATGGATCTACTGAAATACACTGCTGAGGGGAGCAGCGGGCAAGACAGGAGAGGTCTGCTGTGCCTTGTGGGCTGCTCCCTCGGCAACCGGGGAACTAACATGTGCTGCAGTGGCTAGTGATAGCTTGATAGCACTGCCTTTAACCCCTGTGCCACCAGGGAGGCCCCTTTTTGTATTATTCTTCGTGTCCTTGGGTAAACACAGAGGAGTAATATTGCTGGATCATATGGGGTTTCCATTTTCAGTTCTTTAAGAAGTCTCTGTGCAGCTTCCCATAGAGGCTGTACCAATGGAATACTATTCAGCTATTAAAAAAGATGAAATAGTGCCTTTGGGGACAAAATGGATAGATCTTCAGGAGGTTATGCCAGATGAAGTAACTCAGAAAGTGGATGATAGTTCCCGGATGGTTTCCCTCGTTTGTGGAATATAAATAACGAAAGAAAACAAACCGGCAAAACAGAACAAAAATAACTCTTAGACTCTGAAAAATATGGTGGTTACCATAGGGGATGAGGGGGGAGGAGAGGATGAGGGGGTTTCTTGATCGTCTGTTGGCACTGGAGCACTGGTGGAGGGAGAGTAAAGCATGTGTACATGTGGAGGTGTGAAGTTGTACCCCCCAAGTTACAGTTATGTAAGTGAAAGTCAAATCAGTACATTTGTTTAAAAAATAAAGTGCTGAGCTACCTGCTGTGTAGTGAGGACTCTGTATTGTGTAGTATTCTTTAAAAAAAATTATTTGAGTAGCACTGTCATTTTTGGTCTCCTCTTTCTGAAGTAGTAATTAAAATTTATTTTTAAAACATTCACTTCTAAAACAGCTATTTTAGCCCCACCCCAAGACATAATCGTGTAGTCTCCTTAAGACAAATACTCAACTAGTAAATTAAAAATGTTCACAAGGGGCCTCCCCGTGGCACCGCGGATTGAGCGCCGCACTGTGAAACTGTCCGCAGCCTCTGTAGCGCCGGTTCGATTCCCGGCCAGCCAGGGAGATTCCCTCATGGCGCAGCAGACCTTGCCTGTCTCGCCCGCTGCTCCCCTCAGCAGTGTGCTTCGGTCCTTCTGCCTGTTCTGCTCCCTGCTCTGGCTCTGGTGAATTCTCTCACCCTCCGCACCTCTGGCCTATACCCCAGTGCTTGTATAAATAAATAAATCTTTGAAAAAAAAAAAAAAAAAAGGTTCACTAGTACCCCCTAAAGCCGCCTCGTAGACCCCAGCAGTTTGGGTCAACCCTACCCTACCTACCCTACCCAACCCAACCCTACCCCAACCCCCTTTTTGGCCCTTCTTCCTTAACCACCTGTGCATGTTTTGGAGAAGGGCCACCGGGGTCTCATGCTCCTGCCTCATTTTGCCCATCCTCTGCCCTCACCCCACCCAGTGGCCCTCAATGAAGAGGGTCCTTCCTCTTGGGACTTCCTGCAGTCTGATCAGTGTGCACTGGGCGGGGGCGGGAGGCACCGCCTCAGTCAGAGCTACGCCTGCCTTTCCCTCGTCCTCCCTGAGGTGGTCTGTCCTCCGAGTAGGGCCCCACAATCCCTACACATACCCACCCTTGGTCCTGGGGGGGGGGGTCAGAGAACAGGGAGTCCTGACTCCCCTCTATCCCCTATGTGCCCCCCACTGCAGGCAGGCCTGCTGGAAGTACTCAGGGTAGCACCCCTTGAAGCCTGGGTCTGACCCCATCACAGGCCTTCTCTGAGGGCCCCTGCCTCTTCTGCTCTTCCTTCCCTTCCTTAACTCTTCCTCCTTCTCAGGCTTTCTTCCCTCTCTTTGCTTTTCCTCACCAGTTGCCGCCCCCTCTTCTTCCTCCTTTTCCTGGCAGCAGCAGTCAAAGTGGCCTTGCCTCACAGATTTTCTCCCCCACTGTGTCCTTGCAGCTTCTGCGTCAAGCCAGGATGAGGAGACTTCTGGAGTAGCTGCGGCCTTTGGGAGGGCCCCAGCATCCTGGGCTACCCAGCCGGTAAGTCAGGAGGTGGGGAGGGGCCCCCTGGCTGGGTGTGGCAGGCAAGCCGCAACTTTGAGGTAAGGAGGCTTCATGGAGGTCGAAGCCTGAGGTCTCATTTTCCATTTTGAAAATTAAGGTTGAGAGGCAGAGAGGTGAGACACAGAGACCTTGAAGACTCCCAGGAGGGCATTGAAGTGGAGGGGCCAGCAGTTGGGTGGCAGAGGCACATCTGCTTATTTGTTCCCCTTCTGGCCTACTGAGTTTTGGACTCGTCCTCACTTCCAGATGATCACGTTGTCTTTAAAAATATATCAATATACATCTTTTTGAAAAGGGCACAAAATGAAAAAACAATGCAGAAGGGTATTGACAATGCCCTGTCAGCTGCCAATTCTCTCCTCCAAGGCTGTTGCTTATATGCCCGCCTGGAGGTGTTCTGTGACTGTCTCTCTGTGTCTATATTTTCTTTCTTTCTCTCTTTTTTTAAGAATTATTTTATTTATGCATATAAGAGCTGGGGTGCAGGCAAGAGGTATGTGGGGTGAGAGGATTTACCAGAAACAGAGTGGGGAGCAGAACAGGCAGATTGAAATACACTGCTGAGGGGAGCAGCAGGTTAGACAGGAGAAGTCTGCTGTGCCATGTGGATTGCTCCCTGGCCAGCTGGGGATCAAACTTGTGCTACAGAGGCTGCGGGTAGCTTCACAGTGCTGTGCTTAACAACCCTTGCACCACCAGGGAGGCCCTACATTTTCTTTCTTTCTTTTTTTTAAAGATTTATTTATTTATACAAGAACTGGGGTACAGTCAGAGGCATGGGAGGGTGGGAGAATTCACCAGAGACAGAGCGGGGCGCAGAACAGGCAGACAGACCGAAGATACTGCTGAGGGGAGCAGCGGGCGAGACAGGAGAGGTCTGCTGCACCATGTGGGAATCTCCCTGACTGGCCGGGAATCGAACCTGCACTGCAGAGGCTGTGGGCAGCTTCATAGTGCGGCACTCAACCTGCTGCACCACTGGGGAGGCCCTACATTTTCTTTCTTTAATCCAGATGTTTACATAATAAAACTCTATTGTGCATCTTGCTTTTCCACCTGACAGTAAATTACCGATATCATTTTAGATGAACTTTAGAATTTGCCAGTAGGTAATTTTATCTGGAATTGTGTTAGTTATAGCTTCACCTTGCAAGAACTGATACTTTATAATGTTGACAGCAGCTGATCCAAGAACATTGAATGTATTTCTGGCTGTGTCTTTCTTTGGGTCCCTTGGTAGCCTTTAAAAAATTCACACAGTTCAAAATTTAGGTGATTGAAAAAGATGTAGAATGAAAAAAATCTGCTTCCCCTGGGAGGTGGATTTCCAGGAAGCTGACTGAACTTGAGCTCCAGGCTCCTGCCAGGACCCAGCAGTATTTTGGAAAGTATGGTATTCCTTCCTTTTTTTTCTTAAAAGGGGCATCCAAATTTGTAAACTCCAGGCCCCAGGAAATCTGGCTTTGCATCTCCTCCCACCTGTCCCCTCAGCCTTAAGTTTTCTCCCTCAGAGGCTCGTGTCTCTATGTCTCCCATGTATCTGCAGAGATATTTTGTGCATTTACCAGTAGACACATTCTGATCATTCCTCTTCTATTTTTTTCCCTACACATAAAAGAATGTCATGTATGCGGTTCTGCATCTTTTTTCAGTCATTTAGCAACATGTCTTGGAAATCATCCTTTATCAAAGTATGGAAATGTAGGGAGCTTCCTTTATTTGCATCTGCTCACTCTTCTACCATATGATGACACCATAACTTAGTAAACCAGGCCCTAGTTTATGGATATCTTGGTTATTTCCAATCTTTTATATCATACCAATAGCCTCTGTGTAGTTTATTTTGGGTGAGACCCGGCAGTTGGCAGGATAAGAAGCCAGAGGTGGCCCGTCAAAGGGCAGTGCCTGGGACTTTCCCAGCTCGGGTACTTTGCCCTCCCAGAGGCTGGGTCCCTCACCCTGTCACTGATGCACCAGACGCTCTGCTCTCTGCCAGCCTTTTAGGTGGCAAGTGATATTTCAGTATGTTTTACATTTGTATTTCTCTTAGTGCGGGGAGGTGAAGTTCTTTTTCATATTTCATAGTTTAAGAATGTTTGATATTTTCCTTTCTGTGAATTTCTCTGTTCATTTTCTTTACCCATTCTTCTGTTAAGTAATTGATCTATTATTTCTAGGCACTTTTCAGTTTTAAGGAAAATGAGCTCTGTGTTGAGATTGAATAGCAGATATCCCCCAGTTGGTCATTTTCCTCTTGGCTTGGCTTTTGGTGGTGGTTTTTTTTTTTTTTTTTTTTTTTTAAATCATGCAGGGCTCTTTGACTTTTATGTAGCTGAATGTTTCACTCTTTATCTTCCTGAGAATCATTTCTAAAGACTTTTGCCTCTCTGAGGTGGTTTTTTTAATCCTTTCTTGTTTATTTTTTATAATGACATCTTTGTTCTATCTGTAATTTAACCTGTTATAAGGCACGAGGCAGGGATCCAACTGGTTTGTTTCTAGATTGTTCCACAGTTGTCCAATGACTTAATCCATTTCCCCCCCACCAGTTTGAGATCTTCTTTTATTGTATACTAAATTCTTATATATACTTTGATCTTTCTTTTTTAACTTTCTGTTTTGTTTGATCTGCCTGTTTAAGTGGTATTTTAATTAGCATGGCTTTATATGTTTTAACATGCTGTGAGACTGATTCTCACTTTTGATTCTCCCTTTCCTTTACGCTCTGCTTCCAGAATTTTTCCAGCCTTTCTTCCTTGTTTATTTATTGCACGAACTTTCAAATTAACTTGTCTACCTCAAAAGAAATTCTGTGTTTATGTAATAGGATTGTGTATATTTATAAATTAACTTAGAATCAATCTCTTTATGATGTTTTCTATCCAGGACACTATATCTGCATCTATCCAGGACTTCTTTTTGCTCCTAACACTGCATATTTTTCTTCCTATAGATCTTACACATTTTCTTTTTTATATCTTATGATGCTGTTTGCATGGGGTCTTTCCTTCTCTCATCTACCTTATTATTCCATAGAAATATTGATTTCTGTGACATTAACTTTAAATGCACTATCTTACTAAATTCTTTGGTTTTTTGTAATAGTTTCTTGGGTTTTCCAACTCAAAACTCATGTTACTGGTAATCAATAGATAGTTTATCTCTTCCTTCCCCATTTTTATACTTCCTACTTATTTCTTTGATCTAAAACTCTTAGAGTGGGGCCTTCCCGGTGGCGCAGCGATTGAGCGCTGGGTTGCGGGGTTGCCCAGGGCCTCTATGGCGCCAGTTCCGTCCCAGGCTGCTCCCTGGCCACCGGAGGAGGGTCCCGCATGCACACGGACCTCTCCTGCGGCCCACTGCTCCCCTCGGCGGTGTACTTCCGGTTCTTCTGCCTGCTCTGCTCCTCTGGCTCTGGTGGATTCTCTCACCCTCCTGCACTTCTGACTGTACCCAGTGCTTGTATAGATGAATAGATAAATCTTTAAAAAAAAAAAATGCAGCAAGAGGAGCTTTAAAAAATAAATAAAATAAAACTCTTAGAGTAATGTGATTAATAATAATAATAAATATATATCCTTGTTTCATTCCTGACTTTAATGGAAGTTTTTTTGTTGTTTTTCCATTAAGCAAGGTGCTGGTTTTTGGCTTAAGAAAGTATCAACCTACTTGTATTTTAGTGAGATTTTTGTTAAATATGCTGGATGTTGAGCTTAGCACATGCCTCTTTAGTATCTGTGGAGAGGTTCAGATGACTTTTCTCTTTTGATTTGTTAATCTCCTTCTCTCTGTGTCATTTGCTTCTTCACTCTTACCCCGCTGCCCAGTGAGAGGCTATTATGAATGAATGGCCTTTTCTATGCACACCTCATTTCCCCTGCTTGGTGGTGAAAGGGGACTAGGACCCCAGAGGCTGTGTGATACTGGGTTGCTTCACCTCCTGGAGCATTCTACTTCCTCATGGGTCATGGAGGTGGGGTGAGGCTCAACCCCCACCTCCCTGCAGGGGAGGTAGAAGTGCTATTCCTCAATCCCACTCAGATTCCATAAACCCCAGGGTCTGACCCTCAGCTGGAAACTAGGACTGCAATGGGAATTGGACCCTCACCTGTGTCTAGCGGAGGGCAGTGGGGGAGTGGGTGTCAGAAAGCACCAATCAAGCCATTGACCAGCCTCACATCAGTGGTTGAGGCTGTGGCTAGGGCGAGGGTCCTGAATGCTAGAAGGTGATGGGGCGGGGCGGGGGTGAGGAGGCAGGTTTCAGGCTGAAGCAAAAGCCTGGGTGTTTGGAAACCTGACTGTGCCTGGCCTTGCAGGCACAAGGAGAAAACTCAAGGGAGAAAACTCAAGTACAGGACTTGACCCCATGACATGAGAGAGCCACAGAAGGATGCTGATTGGGGAACCACATGTGGGTGACCCTGCCTCTGACCGATGCCTTTGTGTCTATTCCAGGTCTGCACTGGCTGGCCTCTGCTGGCAGGAAACATGGCAGAGGCCAGGGACACAGCACTGTCTGTGGCCGAGTGGCTCCGGGCACTGCACCTGGAGCAGTACACTGAGCTCTTCGAGCAGCATGGACTGGTGTGGGCCACTGAGTGTCAAGGCCTCAGTGATGCCCGCTTGGTGGAGATGGGCATGCAACTCCCTGGTCACCGCCGCCGCATCCTAGCTGGCCTGCTCCGCGCCCACGCGGCCCCAACCCCTGCTCCTCGACCCACCCCACGGCCGGTGCCCATGAAGCGCCATGTCTTCCGTTCAGTGCCTGCATCTGCCACTGCACCTGAGCCACTGCTCATGACTGGAGAGGATCAAGGGCTACCCGCAGCACCCCCAATCCCACCCCGGAGGAGCTGTGTTCCCCCTGCCTGCTTTTCTACCCCATCCACAGCTGCCCCAGACCCCATGCTGCCCCCGCTGCCTGCCAAGCGGCACGTGACAGAACCAAGTGTGCCGCCTGTGCCCCCTCGTGCTGGACTCCCCCGCCTGCTGGTGAGGTGAGTGGATGTCATATGGAGTGACAGGATCATAGGTGGCTGATCCCAGAGGGTGGGGGGAGCCTGTGACTTTTGGCACTGGGTAAAAAAAGGGCACCTGACACGGAGTGACCAGTGTGTGCGTAGCTGTGAGAAGCGCTGTCCAGGGCACTCTGAGCAGACAGAGTATCTGAACCTTTGGGTAGGTGATGAGCCTTGCACATGGTGCTGTGGAATGTGTTGTGAAGGCCTGGTGAGGAGCCAGCAAGGATTTAAGCAGAATGATGGGGTGAAATCTGAATGCTAAAAGGATGACCGGCTGCTGATGAGATTAATGGGGGAAGGAGGCTGGGAGACCAGAGAGGTCACCAGGCCAGGTGAGACCCCACTCAGGCTGTGCTGGCAAGGCTGGAGAGACACAGGCAGATTGGAGTAAGTTGTTGGGCCTAGAATGGACAGGACTTGGGATGGCCGGCGTGTGAGTAGACCAAGTGGGCCACAGTGGTGTCCAGGTTTCCGTCTTGTGCTCACATTGATCTGGGGACATGGACAGAGGTGAATTTGGGAGGAAGTCTGGAGCTCAATGTGGGGCCTGGAAAGTGTGAGATACTGGGAAACTGGAGTACATTCTGGACTCAGGAGGTAGCACAAGGAGGAAAGGGAGAGCCTAGGGTGATGGGCTCGCTGAGGGGGAGCAGGAACTGCCAAGGGCCTGGTGTTTGTGCTCCCATTTCCCCACTGCATGCTGCTCCTGCCAACTGTCACCAAATCCTGAGGTTTTCAGCCCTCATCCTGCCCGTCTTCCCTCCTCAGAACTGTTTTCTGCCCTTTTGGATCCTGACTGTCCTTGTTTTCTTCTACTTCTGTGGACATTCATTTCAACTTTCTTCATATGCTCTCCTGCCTGCCATTGGCTGGGATGCCCGGCTGTGAGGGAGCAGCTACAGCTGGGGCTGGATGTATGTTCAGGGTGTGGTGGAGAGTTATTGCAATATTTGCACCTAGTCAGCCTAATCTGGGAAGGCTTTGCAGAGGAGGAAGGCATGTGCAGAGATAGGTCCCTGGTTCCTGTCTCTGGATGCTGTGCTGTTTTGCTTATCTGATATCCTTTGATTCCTGCAGCAAGCCTTCTGGGGATTTGTGTACCATTTTCAAGCAGAGAAGGAAGAGAACTGGGCTGGATCCTTGCCAGGGAGCCCCTGTTGGGCTGGCCTGGGAGGTTTTCCCTCTCCAGAGGGGAGCATTGAGCAAGGGGGTCTTGAAGGTGAACCAGGGCTGTGGTGTTTTGAGGTTTGATTGGTGGAAGCAAAAGAAAAATGGGGGGTGGGGGGGAGGCTCCCCTGGTGGTGCAGCGGTTGAGTGCTGGGTTGCGAGGCTGCCCGCAGCCTCTGTAGTGCCAGTTCGATCCATGGCCACCGGCGAGGATCCCACCAAAAAAAAGGGGGGGAGTGGGAGGTTGTGCCTTTTCTGCACTCATATACTGGGATAGCATTAGGCCCCCACCCCCGGAGCCTGGCTTATAACTGGACAGGAATTTCCTGGTACCATTGCTCCCTCTAGTGGTCATTCTGCACTGCATGCAGGAATGATTTGTTTCCTCTGCCGCCCATCTTCAGGGTGGAGGTGTGGTGTGTGTCCCTGTCACTAGGGGGTGAGAGTAAGTGAACAATGACAGACCCTGTCAGGAACTCTGAGGGGATAGAACACCAGCTAGGGGAGTGAAGGCCTAGATTCCTGTTTAAGAGGCAGAGGTAGGTCCAGCTAGCTGTGTGACTCCAGTTAGGAGCTCTCTTCGGGGTCTGTTTTCCTATCAGGTGCCTTTATTGGCCCCCCACAACCCTCCGGTACTGACATCTGAATTCACCAGACTTGCTGGGCAGAGTGAATGTGGCCCTTGCCCAGGATACCAGCCCCCACTCTAGGGCCTCCTGAGATTTAGCCACTTAGCCAACCTCGGGAGAGTGCAGGCTCCCATGTCAGGACTCTGGCCCCTTGTGACTAGAGACCCCCAAGTCATTCCATCTGAGGGAATCTGTAGACACTTATTCCTTGAACACTGGGCCTATTCCATGGGGCAGAGTGTGGTGGGGGGTGAGTTGCCAAGCTTGCCTTCCTGTGTCCAGTGTGTCCAGGGGTCCTTGACATTTAGAATTGCAGGCATCTACAGTCCTGGCGCGCTGGGCTCCCAGGGTGCACACAGTGGCAGAAAAATTCAGAGCACGTGGAGCCTCATGTATGTGTAAGAAGTGAAGGCTAGGCACGTCAGGGGCCAGGGCTGCTACCCCATCTCCTCCCAGTCTTTTCCTGTGACCCAGGGCACCTTGGTGTGCAGTGGAAGGCTGCTCAATCTGGCCTGCTTCTGCCCCCAGCAGGAGTCACCACTCTCATATGGCCTCCTCACTTGCACCCTCTGATGACCTGGATCTCACTTTCTCACTCTTAGGGCCTCTGACATCAGATCCTGTGGTGACTGAGGGAGCATTTCTGCCTCACTTCAGCCCTCCCCCAGACTCCCCAGCTGAATTCGGGAGTTTCTGCTTTGTGTGAGTGTATGTGCTGTTGACACAGTGACTCCACGTGAGGGCATGCCAGGCCACTTTGTGTGCGTGCAACTCTGTGTGAGTATTTGTACAAGCTGTCAAGGTAGTAGCATGTCTGTATTTCCACATCTACTCAGGGTCTAGCGGAGGCCATGTGTGATGCTAAAATATACATGCATGTGGAGATCTGTGCAGTTTCAGTGGTGATTTGCTGTGGTCTCTTTGAGATTGCTGGGGCCTGTGTGTGCACATACCTGTGCCCACATGACCTGGTCTCTGTGGTGGGGGCTCCAGCAGCATGTGTCCATTTGTGAGTGAATTGGCAGGTGTATCACTCGTGTGCTATTAAGTGTGAACCTGCGTGTGCACCTGTGAGTCCTCTAGAACGTCCGCTCCATTAGGGCCGGGATCTTTGTTGATGTTGTTTACTGCTGAATCCTTAACATCTGGAATGATGCCTGATAGGCGCTCGGTGTATTTGCTGAATGAGCTATGGAAGCCTGCATGCACTAATGTACTGCCCACGCTGGGCACTGTGGACGTGGAGCTGGACGTGGAGCTCACCACCTCAGATCCCTCCCCATTATCCCACTTGTGTCACCCCAGACATCTTAGTAAGGAAGAGACTTCAGAGGAGCCAAACAAAAAACAAGTAGGGATAAGGTTTCCTCCGCCCTCCCCTAGCTGGGTCAGGACTCTCAGAACCAGGCTCTCCATTCAGCCTGGCCTTGGACTACCCCACTGCAACCCCAGAGATTCTGTACCCCACCACTATTTAAGCTTGTACTTGCAGTGGGGAACTTGCTGAGGAGCCCAGAGTTGCTGAGGAACTTGCTCAGAGTCACACAGCCCGCCAAAGGAAAGGACAGTATGCAGACCCTGCCTCCCGGCCTTGGGCTCAGTCCACTGTCCTCCAAGTATCATAGATGTGAACCCTCTGGGCCAGCTTTCCTGAGAGTAGCAGGGGGGGCATTTCTGAAGTAGGGTTCAGGGTCACTCCACAGAGCCCCTCCGAGACTGCTCTAGGCCTCCATTTCTGCTAATATCTGGAGATACTTTAGGAAGAGGGGGTATTTGCCCAGATGGGGCAGTTATCAGCTGGAATCACACTGTGGCCTCCCTCCTATGTCCTTGGCTCCCCTGCAGCCCAGCCAATCCATGACCTCCCTGAAGGCTGATCACTTGTTGCTGGGGCAGAACTTACTCCCTTCAAAGAGCCTCTTTCCCAGCCTCTCTTGGGTTTCCTTGTGCCAGTGAGGAGAGGCTCTCCAGGGCCAGGGATTTCTGGACGTCCACTCGTAAGGCTCCTCCAGAAGGTCCTGGAGTGGTGATTATTCCATTCCTGCTTGGTGTGGGGGGTGGGGGCAGCTTGGGGGCGGGGAGGAAGCGTCTGCCCCGGGGGATTCTGGGTGACTTTTCTTTCTCAGTGTTTTCAGGAAGTGTGTTGGCTGGGGCTGCAGGGGGTGGGGGAGGCAGAGAGCAGGAAGCCTAGGGAGACCAGAGCTGGATGCAGGCACAGACACTCACACTCTCACAATCACACACACACACACACACACACTCTGACAAATCCACAGTTACACATAGACACACACACGCAGACGAGTGATCACAGATACTCAGAAACACAAACCCCAGACCCACAGAGTGGTACCTACACTCACACAGGGCCTCAGACACACCTCCGGAGCAGGGCCTAGGCTGTCTGGGGGACCAGTCCCAGTGGGACACAGGCTGAGCGGGCAGGCACCCAGGACACCTGAGCACACGCCGCCCACCTGGCCGGAGCTGTGAACTCCTCGGGCCTGGGACCTGCGGGCCTCTGAGGGTGAGCCAAGGGCCTGGGGCTGGGTTGTTGGTGGAGGAGGGAGGTTTCACTTGAGGGCCTGGGAGGGTAAGAACCCCAATTTGTCTGTTATTTCTGGGCTGGGTTTTCTGTAGTGCTCCCCCTCCTCTTTTTGCTCTCAGAATTTCCTCTCTTTCACTTTCTCTATTTTCTCTCTTTTTTTCCCCTGCCCTTTCCTCTTTTGTCCCTTCTTTTTTACTTCCTTCTGGACTTGCCAAGTCTCCCCCTCCCTACCAGCCTCTCTCCTGGGCCCACTGGGAACCATGATAACCTACCTGTTTTGCGGGCTTTGGCAGCGTGGCCACACAGACTGCTCCTTTGTGGGGTCTCTGCCCTTCAGAGGCCTGGGGCCGATCTTCTCAGTTCTGGCATCTGCTCCCAGCTCCCTGCACCCCTTTGAGGGGTCCTTTGGTTGGCTTAAATTTGGCTTTTCTCAGTGTCAAGTTCAAAGGTGCTATGGCTCTGGGCACCTCCTACCGGACCTCTACGCCTGCCTCCTTCCCACCCTCCCCCAAGTCCCAAAGGGCTGGCACATAGTTCCTTCGGTTCCTACCCCACCTCCCCAGGGTGGTGGTAATGGTGGGTACCTGTGTTGTTGTGGGGCTAGACTGCCCAGTTGCTATGGATCCTTAATG